AAGCATTGTTCCTCAAACAGCCGGGCTCTGCGATGCAATTAGACTAGTCTGCTCCTTGCAAAATCTTGTTAGTAAAAAATGGTCCTGGCATGCAGCAGATGTTTTATGTCACATGGTTATTCCCCCCCACCCCACCCCTTAGTTTTGTCCCTCCCCACAGCTGTCTTGACAAAATCCAGATCCCCAGTGGATTGAAAGCTCAGAAATCTGCACTGGGAAACATTTATGATAAAAACAGTCACCAATTCTAAAGGCAATTAGAGGGTGATTTGCTCATTACTACCCTGGGTGGAATTGAACTAACTGGAGAAGATGAGGGTGATATTTTCTGGTTTAAATGCATTTGGAGTGAAATCATGTGTGTTGGGGGAAAGAGTGCCAAAGGGGAGAGCAGAGGAAGAGCCCACATACTTTTTGGTGGGAAGCGAAATTACACCACCAAGTGCAAGGTAATTGCACTGACTGAGCCTTTTTTTTTTTTTTTTTTTTTTCCTTAATGGACTTCAATAACCCAAAGCCAGAGGGAGCAAACTGGCCCATTCTGGGCTCCCATAAGCCAGACCTGGCGCCTCTGCAATCAGCCTCTCATCAGCAGGGACCTCAAAGTCCTCTCCCAGCCCCAGCTCTGATTTCCACCTCTGCCCCACATCCCTTGCAGGCAGAAGAATGTAGGAAGGCGTATATGAACCACCAGAACTTTGAATCATTAGTTTGGCCCTCCCTGTGTTATCAGGCTGTATCTTTCCGTAGGACCATCTGCACAGGCTTTCTTTAAATTGTATTTTGTTGCCTGAAGCTCAGTGGCCATTTCAGAGAGGGCAGATCATCTATGATGGTGCTTAGCATCCTTGGGATCCTTCAAGACAAGTTCTCCTTGTGGTAAAGACCCATGGATGGCTCTCTTGGCCAAGGCAGAGTTAAGAGCAACACATCGAGGCCATAGCTTGCCTGCAACCACAGCTTTTGGCTTTCCCCTGCCCTTCCTTGCTGTTTGCCATCTGTGTCCAGACTAGGAACAGCCACAATCCAGGGTCTGGCTGTGATGTGATGAGGGACAGGATGGACTCACTGTTTGCTGAAGCCTTGGGTGCCACGGGGCAGTTTGAGCTGGTTTTGTGGTGGCTGATGCCTGAACCCACGCTCTGGGTGTGTGTGGGTGTGCATGTTTGAGTGCTGCCCTCTTCTCTCGGTTCTGGTGCTGAGAGGGTGATGTGGTGCTTGTCTTTTGGCGAAGTGCCTGCCTGGGTCAATATTTTTGCTCATCTGGTTTCTGTCTGCTGCACGGAGGGAGGGGAGGCAACCAAGGTGATGACCTCCTATGATCAGAGCATCTCTGCTTCTCTCCTCCCCTTGCACATAGGAACACGAGGCCCTGTAATTCAGTCGGGCTGCAGAACAAGCTCTTTATCTCTTTCAGCTGTGTCCGCAGGAAAAGGAAAACTAGATTCAGTGTTTTTCTTGGCTCTTTTTGACCTAGTTCCCGCTGGTCTGTAATTCATCACCCACCTCTGCATGTGGGCATGGTGCTTCATGGCTCTGAGTGTGCTTTGCACCCTGAAGGTGCTGCATCACACACCAGGGCCCCACTGGACTCCGTGCAATCCTGGGGGCATTGCAGCCTTGCTGAAGCAGTGCCTTGGCCACTTGTTCCCACCTCAGTACAGGCAGAGCACCCAGGGAATGTCATCCCTGTGGACTGAAGGTCACGCAGTCTAGACCAGTGCCAAAATGTGTGAGTGGGAGCTCAGCAGCTTCAGTGAGGACTGAAGAATCCAAGTAATTTAATATTGGGAAGCTCCAGTCTAAGAGATTTGGGAAACCTTCTCAGGAGGTTTTGCTGGGAAGACTGACCCATGGATGAGTCTTAACTTGTTGAGCTCAGTTCTGCAGCATTAGAGCAAGGAAGCAATGCTGCCCTGCCCTGTGCGAGTGCAGCAAAGGGCTCTGAAGAGCATTAAGGGGTTGGAGCATCTGACACGAGGAGAGGCTGAGAGAACTGGGACTCTTCAGTCTGGAGAAGAGAAGGCTCAGGGAGATCTTAACAATGTGTATAAATACCTGATAGCAGAGAATGGAAAAGACAGAGCCAGACTTCTCAGTGATGCCCAATGACAGGATGAGAGACAGTGAGCATGAAGTGAAAAACATGAAATTCCATTTAACCATGAGAAAAAGGCTTTTTTACTGTGAGGGTGATCCAAACACTGGCACAGGTTTCCCAGAGAGATTGTGGAGTTTCCATCCCTGGAGATACTCAAAACCTGAAAGCTGTCCTGAGCAATCTGCTCTAGCTGACCCTGTTTTGAGTAGGTGGGATGGTCTGGATGATCTCCAGAAGTTCCTTCTAACTGCATTGATTTGGTGATTCTGTGCTTTAGGATCATTAGGAGCCCACTGGGATGGAGCTCAGTCTCAGGGCTTGAGGGTGTGATCCTTCTGCTGGGATCATGGCAGCCCCTCTCTGCCCTTCAGGGTGGACACCTGGGAAGACTCACTGAGCATTTTGGGATTTGCACAAGTTCTGTGCAGAGCTAACGTGGTGTTTCCTTCCAGCCAGGCCTGTATGTTGTGCTGGGCTGATCCTCGTGCAAAGCATCACTCCTTCTCCGAGGCCTGATGCATCTCCAGGCACCAGGCATGCGAGATCCCGGGTCAAGGGAGAGGCTGTCACTCCCTGCCACAGCAGAGGATTGTGGCATTTAGCAACCTTTATCCTAGGAAGCTTCCAATTCAGCTGCAAACTGCCACGGGGTTTTCACATTACGAGGGAAAGAGGTTTAAATAAAAAGTCCATGGGCTGCTAAGCTTTAGAGCAAGTGTGTGCTTTCAGCCACAACCACGCTGGACCAAAAGCACCTTGAAACACCACATCCGAGTGTGCACCTGAATGGGAAACGCCTACTGCAGGGTCTGAAGAGCTGCCTGAATGAATCCTTCAAGAACGCTATGCCCTTAGGGATCCATCTGCATTAGTGGGAAGAGAAGCTGAGAATTGTGAGGATTCTCGTGAGAACTGTGTTTTGCAAAGGGAGCCTGCTCTGGCATGAGTGTTTCCAGCTGTGGCATCTTTGACGCTGCCACGGTTCCAAGAGAGTCGGGTCTTACGAGCTGCACCCTCATCTGTGCCAGGGCAGGCTGCTCTTCTGATGAGTACATAGGGCTTCCCTCTATTAAAATGATCAACCACAGGGTTTTAATTGGCAGATTCTTTCCGGGTGATGGGGAAATCACAGATAAGTGGCATCTCTGCTCTTCGGAAAGGTCCCTGAGCATCTGACACCCTCTACCTAATTTCTGTCCAGCAGGATATGTTTGTCATGCTTTCACGTTCTCCCCTGTCTACATAATACCAAGTGACTCCTTTTTTGTACGCTGCAGATACACCCAAGGGTAGAAAGGGCAGCTGTGGTCCTCAAACAGGACAAACACGATGCCTCTGCCCCACTGAGCAGGATCACTAAGAGCTGATCTTGCAGACATCCCCATCACCAGCGGACAGGACGGTCGCATCCCCTGCTGCTGGGTGCTTCCTCGGTGGTATGAAACAGGAATGAAACCCCACTGCTTCTCTCCCAGCCCTGTCTGCACTCAGCCATGCTAAGTGCATGTGGTTCTTCCCTTTGGTGGCTGTCAGCTTGCCTCCCTCTAGCGCTTATTGCAACCTCCTGCAACTGGAAGGGAATTAGTCCTCTCCCTTGGGTTTGGTCGCTGCCCGGTTTGTGTCTGGATGGAGCTCAGGTTATTTTTCAGGTCTGTGGTGCTGGCTGGGTTAGGTGGGGATAGCAGGAGGTGCTTACAAAGCAGCGATTCTTTTTCTCCCCACGATGGGCAGAGTCACTGCAAGTCCTCGTGTGCAAAGTTTTGAGGGAACATGTTATTCTGGGTGCAGCCAGCCTGAAAAACTGGAAGGTGTGGGGGGAGAAGGAAAATCTGCTTTTACTTTCCCCCCTTGCAATTAAATGTAATAACAAAGGGGAAAAGATTCTTCCAGCTCTTAGTCAGGCTTCTAGCCTCCAGCTGGACATGACCTTCCAAACTGGACTGATCAAAAAAAAAAAAAAAAAAAAAAAAAAAGAAGCAGTGTGTCACATGAAACTTGCTTAACACCCTCTGTTATTTAAGTGCTTTCTTGGCCAGGCTCTGAATGGGAGTGAGAAGAGAGGAGGGCAGCCTGGCAGAAGCCGGGCAGAGGAGAGGCGATGTGCTTGGTGCCTGAGTACGGATGAGCTCACCTCCTCCCTAAATTTCTCCATTCGTGGTGCCTGTGCAGAATCCCCCGTGCTGGTTCTGCTATCAGCCTGACATTTAATCCTCCTGGCCTGGCTGCAGAGCTTTTGGCTCACTGAATTTTCTCCATCTGCTGTGCTAAAATCTGGAAGGACAGACGTCCTAGGTGAGGACACTTGGCTTCTTGCAACCAAGTCTGAGCCCTCAATCTGCGCTGGGCTTTCCTGGGTGAACTCTCTGATTTAGACACTGAGATTCTTCTTCTAAATGCCTGGCTTTGCCCTTCTGTTTTTGGTTTTTGTTTTTGGGTTTTTTTGGTGGTAGATCCACAAGTTCCAGTATGGAGACAGTGGGTTTGGGTGATGCTCTTACACTCTCCAGAGCAAAATAAGAGGGAGAGAAGCTGATAAAGCACTCACAGAGTAAAGAGAGCTGAAGGACTTATGAGAAATAACAAAAAGTCAGCTTAGAAGATGGGATAGGCACTAGGGCTGTAGTGATGTGAAAACATACCATTATCACCAGCAAAGCTGTGCTGGTGCTGGCACAGAATAGGGAGTAAGTCTGGTGTCACTTCAGCAGTGATGTCCTGGTGAGAGCGAGGGGGTCCTTCTGCCACCAGCATCTTGAGTGAGGCCAACAGAAAACTGCAGATGGGATTTAAATGGAGCCTGGGGAAGAGAGAAAGAGATTTTCCTTTGCCAGGAAGTTTTGTTCCTGATTTTCTTGTCTCCTCGCTTATCCCGTGTGTCTGTTTCTCTCCTGTCCCACAGGAAATCTGCAACGATCCACATCTCTTTGTGGACGGGATCAGCTCCCATGACTTACACCAGGGCCAGGTTGGGAACTGCTGGTTTGTGGCTGCCTGCTCCTCCCTGGCATCCCGGGAATCTCTGTGGCAGAAGGTAAGCAGGTCCCAACGCCTGGGGAAAGCCTGTCTTCAACACCTTGGCTGCGTGTTCTGTTTGTTGGGCTCAAAAACTAGTTCTTGTGGGATGCCTCAGGTCCTGAAAAACTGTTCAAAAACCTCCCTTAAAGGACTATCTTTCAAGGGGAGTTAGTCATAATGACTACCATCACATCACACTCAAGCCAAATCCTTGGCTGGTTTCTCCTTAACCAAGTGGATCAAGTCCCGCCTGTTCTTCAAATCCCAAATCTGACCCTCCCCACTCCAAAATAACCTAAAAAACCAACAAGAAGAACAAAATTCTGGATGCTCAGCTGCAACATGTGGCCCTGTTTCCCTAGTTCCCATGGTGTAACCTCTCTTTGGTTGCCGGAGCAGGTAGAGTGATTTGAGGCTATTAGCATCTCTCCCAAGCCACTGCTTGCCCAAAGCATCCATCCCTGGCATGCCCCAGGGCTGGGTTGCACCATGTAGCAGTGCTCCTTCAAGTGTGGGGTACAAAGGGAGTCTGTTGTGGGCCAGAAAACCACCAAGGAGCTGCACCAGAGCAAGGGTCTGCAGACCTGGGAAGCAGCCACAGGGGTACGGGGGGGAAGGAGATGCTCAGTGCCACATCCTTGAACAGTCTGGGCCTGTCTCCACCGTATCCTCAGCTACAAAAGGAATCAGTCCTGTGAAAGCCAAGGCAGGGGGGACTTCAGACCTTGGTACAGGCATGCCTCGTCATAAAACAAGAGACCAGCAAGCTGCAATCACCTTTTCATAGATTTTACTGCAAAAGGCAGCCACCAAAGTCCTACAGGGTGAGCACAGCATCACCTGCTTCACCTGCAACCTTCTACTGCAATGGACCCCAAAGGGGTTCCTCCACCCTACTTATGCCTTTGCATCTGCTCTGCCTGCTGTGCTACTTCCAGTCTCTACTGTGTGGGGGTTTTATGATCACCAACACTAAGCTCAGGAATTTGTGTTTGTTGCAGCATCCCTGCTTTCTGTTAAAATCGAGGTTTTTCTTTATCAGGGAACAGGCTAGCAGCTGTTGGTTTCTGAGTAAGCAGTAAGGTTTCCTCCCATCGTGGCTGTGGTGACTGTTGTAGCTGTTACAGGTGTGGTGCAAAGGGTTGCTTAGCTTGTTCCCCAGCATCGATCTCTCCCAGGGGTGAGCAGGAGAGTTGTCTTCCCTCCTCACCACCCGCTTCCAGCCCTGCCCTGGGACGTGCCAACCGAACAGAAGCCGGGTCCCTTTGGACACCTCATTATTTCAGTTTGCCAATGGCACTGCTTTTCCTCCCCTGGCAATTTGGCTGTGGGTGTTTATGGCTTCTCATTTTCCATGCCCTTAACTCTCAGAAGCTCTTCTTTACCTGACTCCTCTTTCTTTTAGAAAGGTTTGTTTTCTGACAAAAGCACAAGCTGCAGACCTCTCCCCCAGCCTTCCCTCCCAGTGATGTTAATTTTGCTGTGGCGTTCACTACAGGGCTCTGGTCAGACATGCTTCCACACACCCCTGCTTTTGGAGACCTCAGAATTAGATGGGACCTTTGATCCCCCTCTGCAAGGTTCTTTAAGAGGGTGTGATGCACTGCAAGGAGTAGGCACGGCAATAAACTGCAGCAGCAACTTTTAAAGCAAAATGGGAAACATCAAGTGCACAGATTAACCCCTGGGCCCAAAGAGACACCAGCTCTGCTGGATGTGCTGGGATTAGAGCATGGCCCTTGCCTAAGATCATGGAGCCCTTCATTGGCCCAAAAATAGTGGACCTCTTAGCCCCTGGCACAGTTGCACGTGCAAATGTGATAATGTTGCACATCGGACCCAGTGCCTACAGGGCAAACCTCTAATCCTGACTGCTCAATATGCTGATGCAAGCAACAGTTGAGAGGACAGACAAGGCAGCGGAACACTAGATTTTAAAATCTAGTTTTAGTGTCTTTAGACACCAACACAACTCTGATTCAGGGTCCAGGACGAGCTGAAAGATGCTGACACAGGTGTTACTATCACTGAAATGTGGGTACAGGGATATTGGACCAGGTCTCCCATTGCTCGTAGAAAATGTAACCCTGATTTACACCATGATGTAACCTAGGGTCTGTGTGTCCCTTGCTCCACTTCACGCAGAGAAACTGTCTCCCTCAAGTGTGGGGAGGGGAAATACCTTCAAGAGAATAGGATGGGCCAGCACATCCCTGTGTATCCCAAGAGATGTTTTTATTCACATGCTTTCTTTCACTTCACCCAAGGCTCCCTCTGTGTCCCTACTTCCCACTAAACCTGTGTTGTTTGAGTCATTGGGTAGGAATGGGATGCTGGAATTTAATTTAAAGCTGTTTTCTACATTCCTGAGTCTTGGCTGACCCTACATGGCTTTAGCTGTGACCTGGCTCTGTAACACCCTTTCTGTGACTCTTCAGAGGTGTCTAGTTCTTATGAAAAGAAGTGAAGGCCTTGAAATGGGGAGATTTAAATATTTTCCAGCAGCACTTTTTCCTAAAGGGTTTTCTGAATCTGTACCTGTGCTCCCACAGGTTGCATTGGTATTGCTCAACAAACGAGGGACAGGGGCCAGGCTCTGAAGCCAAGTGGTTCAGACAACCCTGCATCTCGACCACCTTGCCTGGTCTCCTTCCCCCTCAGTCGCTTCCAGAGAACAGGCAGTCTTGGGTGAGACACTGTCACGGATGAGTGTTTTAGATCACTTAAAGAATTTGTAAAAGCGCAACTTAACAGAGTTCGATGGCAAGGTTCACTCTATTACTTACTACATGGGAGAAACATACACAGGAAAATCAAGTTAGAATTGATTTAGAATGATTTACAGAGAGCCTGAAGATGTGAAAAGGTAAGGGGGACCCTTCTGTTGAGTCATGAGGTTCAGAATGAACTCTCTTGCTTTCTAAACTCCTCCTCAGAGAGGAGTCTAGGTGTGGCTGGATCCAATCTTAGCCCCAGAATTGGTCAATGGTTTATACCGAAGAGATAAAAAGCATAAGAAAAACCTCCTGTTGAGTCATCAGGTTCAGAAAGTACCCCCTTGCTTTCTAAACTCCTCTCAGAGAGGAGTTTAGGTGCAGATGGATCCAGACTTAGTCCCAGACTTGGTCAGTGGTTTATGACTAAAGGATTATATGTGTGCAGTCAATCCTTTCTATCACTATCCCAACTAGGTTTTAAAGTTTAGCATGCTATTAATCACCTCCCATCCAGGTGCAGCTCGAGCTGGGTGCCTCTGGAGAGGGAGGATGGGTGCGGACCTGAACAAGGAAATCCCTGGGCAGTTATACCTGTTCACCCACCTGATGTTCTGAGCCTATATTGGATTCCTTCACTGTCTCCAGACAGGCCGTTATCTTGTCTAGTTGCAGCTTCTCCTGATGGTTGTAGCCTTGAAACTATCTTCTGATTTATGCTGGCTCTGGAGACCCCTGATTTGACTAAGTAGGTACGGGTTTAGTAAGCCTAGGTGAAAGTTTACAGCTTGTGGCCTGAGGCTTCAGCAAACCTAGCGACTCATGCTAAGTAAAGCTAAGCAAACAGCATACTAAATCGCACAACTTTATAACTCTAAGTGATGCATTCTATTTAAAACTCATCTAAGCTAAATGACTAGTATCTCTTAATACTGAGAGGTGTCCTTGCTCAAGGGGAGGGTTGCCTGGTGTGCAGTCCAGTTGCTATCCAGGGAGAACTCCAGTTTGGCTCATCCAATGATCTGTCGTTGGTAAAAGATCTCATTGCTTCGAGGAGCAGCCTTGAGAGGAGTTTTAGCTCAAGGGGAGATCTCTGCCATGCAGCCACGCTGCTAGCAGGGGCAGCTCAAGGAGGGCTCACTTAGGCTGTCATATTTATGGGGTAAAGTGGTTGACTTCTTGTCAACTTGCACACAATGGGAGAGGTATACACAAGACTCCTTGTACCCACAACTTACTTTGTTCAGTCTGCTCCTTTGTGGGTTTCCTAGAGTTCTTGGCCCAGCTGCCGTCCAGGTCTTTACCTCCTTTGGAGCCTGTACCAAACCACTGCTAGTTAGTTAAGGAGGGGTTGAGTGCATCCATCACAGATGCCGTGAGCAGATGGCTCTGAAGGTATCCGCCTCCCAAAGTCCATTTTGCATATGTCTTCTACAACCTGGGGTTAGTTAGTGCTCTCTGGGAATACCCTTAAGTCTAATCTTGTACCTCAGCAGGGCAGGGAAGGAGCATCATGTGGTGTCTGGGGGCTGGACCCCCACTGCAGTCTGTTCATCATTAGGTGCAAGGTCATTGCTCCTTCCACTGCCACCACATATGGGGGTAAAAGAAACAAGGCAGTCCAAGCAAGGTCTGTGTAACATTGTCACATGTGTAGCTCAGCTCAAAAAAGTCTCCAGGGTTACCTGAAGGCATTTTTAACTTCTAAAACTCAAGGGTTGGATCAACAGTTGTTGGTAAAAGTGTTTTAAAGCTAGTAAACAAGTGAAGCAAGATCTCAGAGAACAGCCAGAAGGGTCAGGTTTCCTCAAACTTCTCTTTTGTCCCTTCAAATGGGTCTGTGTACCTCTTAGTTTTCCTGACTCTGTCCTCACCGTCTTTAAGAGTAACAGCAGACTGGTGACCGTAAGACAATTCCCAGGAAAGTGATCCACCTTGGACGCCTGGTGTCTGTGGCTTGTCTGGCCAAGGCCAGCTTCTGATGGTCTTTTCTGGGACTTCCTGAAGTCAAAATGATAGCCTCCAGGGATGATACTGGGTAGTTGTGAGTCAGGTGTCACACAGTGCAGGTGCTGGCACAAGTGTTTTTCAGAAAACTGTTTTCTGGAGTTATTTAACAGTTTGAGCTCCCAAAGTGCCCTGCAAACATGGCATGTGGCAGAAGCCAAAATGAATCACAGATAGGATGGAGACAACCCAAACAACCTGACTCCAAGCAATGCCCATGCTGAAACTTCCTGCTGAAACACTGTCCGAGTGTTCAAACCAGTGACTGTAATCCAGAGATACCACAGCATGCTCACAGGAGCCAGGCCTGTTCCGTGGTGCGCCTAAAACTGTGGCTGTGGTTTAGCTGTTGTGTCATGGGGCTACTTGTCATAAGGAGGCACAGCTTGGCATGGCATCTCTCTTCAGGATCTGGAGCCTCTTGGAGCCGCCCAGAACCCTGCAAACAGGAACGTGTTCACCACTGTCCTCCTTTATCCCATCCACTGTTCGGGCAACCCACCAGCACAGCACCAGTCCTCTGGATTTAATTGCACCCAGCAATTGCTGGGGAATGAGTGGTTCCAGGTTGGGTACGGTGGTGTTGCTGGTGCTTATCAGGCTTCAGAGCATGTGTACAGTGCCTGGGAAGAGCTTGCTTGCATCTTGGACCTGCTTCTCCACTTGGCTCAAAGAGGCAAGCATTGAGGTGAATGAAGGCTGTACCCGAGTTCCCCTTTCCCAGGCACCCTAAGTTGAAGCCCACATGTGAGCACCCACTCCAACATCGGGCCGGTCCATTTGAAGGCAAGCAGACCCACGCTGAGCTGTTGGTGCCCACCTACTGCTGCAGGAGCAGTGTGGAGCCTGACTCCTGCCAGCTGTGCCATCCAGAGAAGGACACGGGGTCCTGAGGGACAAGCGAACTAGAAGTCAAACGTGTACCGTTGTGGAGATGAAGGCCAAGCACACATGAGCCCAAACTAACATGAGTGCAGCCAGCAGGTTGAGAGAAATTATTCTTTCCCCCTGTCTGGCATTTGTTATTCCCAGCTGGGCACTGTTTTGGGGTCCCCAGAAGAAGACAGTGGCAAGCTGAAGCAAGCCTGATGGAGGCCATGAAGATGGTCTGGAGCACAGGACATATGAGGAGAGGCTGAGAGGAGCAGATTTGTACACCCAGCAGAAGGGATGGAGGAGCTTATTGATGTCTGCAGCTACCTAATGGAAGGACACGGGATGAGACGGAGCCAGACTCTTGCTGGGGATGCACAGTCACAGGACAAAAGACAACAGCACAGGCTGCAGCTATCTTCAGCATGAGCATGGCCAGAGAGTGGAACAGAGGCCCAGAGAGGCTGTGGGATCACCATCCATGGAGATACTTAAAGATGGACTGGACAAAGTCCTGAGCAACCTGATCTAACCTTGAAGTAAGTCCTGCTTTGAGTGGCAGGTTGGACCAGACCCCTCCAGAGTCTCCTTCCAACCTGAATTATCCCATGAGCCTACGCTCGGAGAAAGCCGCAGCCACCCAGACCCCACTGCAGGCCCTCGTTTTGGGATAACGAGCCACGGTTGTCAGGGAGGTTGCCAGGGAGGCTGACACCAGACATCCCTTCCCTATAGATTATCGTGCACAGCAGCACCATCAGTTGCTGATCTGCAAACGAGGCAGGAGGGCACCCAGAGGAAGCCCCGGAGGGTGTTTTGCGTCACTGGTCCGGGTTGCCTAGCACTGCTGGGACCGTAGAGAGGGGGCACCAGCTCTGGGGGCTTGGTGGCTTTTTCTCCCTGCGTGTCCTTTTTGAGAGTCAGACGTTGCTGAGGACCTGGCAGAGGAGCAGCTGAGGTGATGGCAGCTGAGGCAGGGATGCTCGAGCTGCCCTTCGTCCGTGATGACCAGCTCACCCGGTGCATGCGGCTGCGATTCCAGAGCCTGCAGCAAAAAAACATGAGGCCCCAGGATGGTGAGAAGCTGCTGCGTTCCAACGAGCACGTCTACCGAGTGGATTTCATCCGGCAGCACAACCTACGCTTCCTCCACTGGGACATCCAGATGGAGAGACCTGGGAAGGTCACGGTGACCGGCACCTCCCAGCACTGGACTCCTGATCTCACCCACCTTATGAACCGGCAGCTGCTGGAGCCGGTGGGCATCTTCTGGAAGAAGCCAGGGGCCAAAGACGTAGAGTGCAATGAGGCAGATGCCCAGGAATTTGGGGAGCGGATAGCAGAGTTAGCCCGGATCCGCAAGGTGATGTATTTCCTCCTCGCTTTCACTGACGGCCTCGAACCAGCTCAGCTGAAGGGCTCCATTGTTTTTAAAGCCTGATCCCCTCTTGCTCAGCCGTTCTTGCTCCAGCTATGCTTTTGTCTTTTTCTTTTTTTCTCAGTTCAGTTTTTACGTGGGTTTGTTGTGGTTGTTTTTTTTTTTTAATGAGGGACAGCATCAAGAAATAGTGGAGGACAGTTTGGTGTTTCTGAAGCCCTTCAGCCCTGTGAAATGTTCCCCAGATGTGCTGTCCTCTGTCTGAACGATGGGGAGGAGGGGGCCATGAGCTCGCTGCTGTATTTGCCTAGAGTATAAGACTGAATGCTTGTGAACTCAGCAGGGATTCACCAGATCTGGCTGGCGCAGCGTCTTGCTAGCTTGGTCTTGCCCTAAGCCCTCTAACTGTGGCAACTGCATACCAAAAGCCTGATAGAAAAATAAGGTCTTGCCATACTAGAAACAAGAGAGACAACCTGGAGAGAACCCTGGCTTCCAGTTTCCATCCTAGCCATTAAAAAGGGAGAGCCTATTTGCGATGGGGTGCTTCTCCTTGCAAGGATGCTGAGTGCTTGCAGGCTGCAGTGACTCCTGCTGCGACTGTGACTGCGTGGTGTCTCCGAAGACCATTCCCATGGAGGATCACCTCACTGTGAAGCTGAAGTACATTTGGACACGCTGTATGCTGCAGATTGCAAACCCACTGGACAAACTGGTGCAGGGAAGTTGGACCACCCTTTTCCTGACAGCCACCACCATTTCTTGCCGGGGTCACTGTGGGGAGGTGTACTCCAGCATGTTGCTCCCCTGGGGACCGTTGGTCCTGAGATGGGTTGGAGCAGGCGTGCATGTGTGTGCAGAGGGGGCAAGTGAGCCAGCAGCCCAGAGCAGGCTGTAGGTCTGAGCCAGCAGTGAGTCCCCCTGCAGCAAAAACAATCAGTGCATTGTCATGGCCTTAACGCACCCATGAATATATTTCTTCTGAAGCATCTGTAGAGAGCCATGAGGCTGCAGAGCACTTTGCGAACCACAGGGAAGGAACCTGCTGCTGCTGTCCCCAAAAGCAGTGTCTCCTACTCTCTACAAATGCAGAGGCAAGGAGCAGTGTCTGGGTGGCCATGGGAGCAGAGCAGAAATGGTACTTTTGCACGTTTAGGAGCAGGAATGTGGTTTGTGCCTGGCTTGTCCCATGACTGTGAATACTAACTTTGGTCATTCCCTTTTCCTCCACCGAAAAGTGAAAGGTACTTTGGTGAAGTTTCTTGAGACCCATGGCTAGAAATGTCCTTTGAAAGAGCCAAGTATTAATACAATTGGTCCTTTGATAAGATTGTACTCAAATGTGGGTGAAAGCTCCTCAAGGTACGTCCTGAGATGTGTAAGGAGAGAGCAGTGATGAGAGAGCCAGGACAAGGTGACTTTGCACTCGTGGCCTGCTGACTTGTGCAGACCATCCCCAAAAGTGCCCAACTTCAAAACCTCCAGAGATGCAGACTCCATGCCCAGCCCAACAGTAGTATATAAAATGATATGCACAAGCTAGGCCAGGCAGGTAGGAGAAGGAAAGCGGGAAGATCAGATACTGGCTGAAGAGGTGGTGGGAGCTTTGAGTCTTGCCCACAACCAAAGCTCAGGAACCACTGAATCACACAGCCGTGCCATGGGCATTGCCAGAGAAGTCAGTGTCTTTGTTTAGACCCCAAGAAATGCTGGACTTAATGAGTAAAGATAAAAGTGGATGCACCCCTGCTTGGCCATACATGGACCTACTGTGGGCCAAACCCACTTCTAGGGTCCTGGCAGACTTTCCCACAGGACATCCCTCCTTGTACACCCTAGAGCAAAGCTCCTGACTACAAACCACATTAGACCCAATAACAGGAGCCACTACCAACATCCAAAGGGGTTTTTACATGCCAGGTCTCACAATATGCCGTTGCTGGTTGCTGGGGTAGAGTTCTTGCTGCAGATACCTCACAGGGTATTGATGTACCACAGTAAATAAAAACCGAGTTAACAGGGCTCCCCTTAAGGACTGAGGCTGTGTGTGTCGTCTTCATACTCTTTCTGGAAGCTTCCCCAATCCTGCATGCAATAAAGCAGCACCCACCAATTTCCAACTCACTGTTGGTATTTTTGAGCACCTCTTTATCTCCAGTAAAAAGTAAAATGAACATTTACCTTCTTCTCTCTTGGTTTGAAAGGTTTAACGGAGCATTTAGCAGTTTTGTGTGGTTTGGGGGGGTGTGAAGCTGGGGAAAGAAGGGGAAATGATCCTCAGGTGGATCCTCCTTTCCATCAGAGCTGGGGGTGGGTGGTCAGTGGGGCAGTGTGATCTCTCTCTGCTGCAGGGAAGATGAGCCTCTTTATACCAGTCACTGAAACTCTCCCTACGCACTTTCAGCATCCTAGAAAGGCTTTCAGATACACCACTCGGTCCCATCTCCCAGGGGAATTTCATCCTGGTTTGTACCATGCTTAGCAGACTGGCACAGCTGGGTTCTTCCCTCCCCTTCCTAATCTGTTGGGAAGTTCCCAACAGAAGAGCCCCTGCTTGGAGGAATTGGCATCTACCAACTCCTCCCTCTAATCAGGGATGTTTCTCCAGGGTCACCAGTGCCGTTCCTCTTAATTAGGCACTCTTTTTTTTTTTTTTTTTTTTTTTTTTTTTAAGAGAGAGAGAGAAAATCTCTAAACCAGCTTAGGGAAATGAGCCTGGTGTTTCTGGTCTCCCAATTTACCTGTCTCTGAGCCCTTTTGCTGTGAATTTGTTCCACTAAAGAGTGTTACAGCTCCAGATCTTGGGAGCCCCTAAGTGGAAAGCAGCACAGTTGGATGAATGAGGAGACATGGTTTCCCCTGCCTCAGGGCTACACAATGGAGTTCAGGCCAAGACTCAGTGGGATCCTGGGATGGGTGATCCATGGCATGTTCATGTTCCCCAGCATCCACTGAGGAGGAAGATGTCTGGGGCTCTTCCCTGGGTGGGAGCCGTGGACCTCAGTTGCACGATGATCTTCTGGAGGCATCTGGGCTCCAGCTACTGCTGGGATTTGTAGATGTGCCCCAGGTTAATCCTTTAGGTAATGTGCAGCATCAGGTCAGCATGCAGCACAACAGCAGGGGTTGTGCTGTATGTCTTCAAGTGTGGTGTCCTGATAGGAACTTCATCCAGAGCTGCCACTTCTCTCTTACAGCCAGGGGACCCACAGACACCTTGGCCAGGGGGTGAAGCAACTGGAGGGATCCTTGACCAGGGGGGATGCTGTGCTCTGGGAGGAGCTGGGAGAAGGAACCTGATGTTTGAGCTCACACCTTGCACTTTGGCAGGTTGAGGACACAGAGCAGGCTTCTCCCATTTCCCCTTGGGTTGGTGTAGAGCACAACCAGTCCTTGCTCCTGGATCCTGCTCTGCATGAAGGCTGATGGCTTTTGCTGCCTTCAGCGGCCAAGGGTGTTTTCGGCACTGTCCCCAAGTAAAGGGAGGATGGTGGGGACCAGTATCCCCTGCCACCACTGGCAGGAACAGCAAGTCTCAGAACCAGCCAGCTGGAAGCTGTCGCTACCAGCTCTGGCTGACGAACTGCCTCTAATCAATGCCGTGATCATTTCTAAGCCTGCATTAATAGCAAGTTGATTAGCACAATGGTCCTCTATGACAATTCATTAGGATGAGCTCCAGTCAGGAGGGAATCGATGGGCACTGATGGAGGGCTGTCTGACCTTTCCTGGCGCTCTCCCAGAGGGAGTCTGGCACTCCTGGAAAACGCCAACCCCTCCAAAAGCAGCTCTTTCATGGCTCGCTCTGCTCTGCTTCTATTGATCCAGACAACTCAAGAGTGCTAGTGAGTTCGCAGGACTGATAGAATCATTAATATTTCAGTGTAGGAGCAATAAAAGCCTTGGGCTGGATTGTTGCTGGTAGCTAACGAGTTGGGGGGCTCTCTGGAGAGAATTCTTTCTGCAGGGTTATGGCTTCGTGACAGCAGCCAAAAAAATAGCAGAAGGCTCCAGCGTCTGGATGAGGACCAAGGCACAGTGCAGGGGCTCTCACCATGGCCCTGGACTTTCCGAAGAACTTCTGCATACAGCGTAGCTGTGTCCTGTCCTATCCCACCCCAACACTGGCAGCTGACTCCACCGGACAGTGATTATTTGGTGTATTGGAACATATTTTTCTCTGTGGGCATGTTAGGGTTTTTCCTCGCTTAGGTCATGATGCTTTGGGAGCTACTAAGTAAAAAAGAAAATCTGTGGACAGTTGGTCACATTACTACAGCTAAATCTGTCAGTACTTGTCAGCTCTCAACTATGTTAACTACATGGCCTCACAGCCCAGCCTGGCCATGAAATAAAACCATGTTGCCTTCACCTTCAGCAAAACCTAAGCTGTGGTGGGGCAGTTCCTTGCTGTGTGCCTCTATGTCCTGGTTGCAAATAAAATGCAGATCCTTCTAGATGTAGCACCTGCACATGGCTGTGCCCATTTCTGTCTCAGCTGTTGGGTGGATTTTCCATCCAAAGCAAAGCTTGTGGTGCCTGCAACCATGAAGGGCTACGGGCTTTGGTAGTTACCCTCCATTTGTGCCTGTCCCACTGGCAGTGCAGATGGCAGTGACACCAAACCTGTGCTCCCTCAGCTCCACAGCTGCTCCAGGGCTTCTTTCACTCCAGGGCCTCTTTTCCTTCTTTCAACTAGTCACCTCCCTGTGCTTGATCGGATGAGTATGGTCGCGCTTGACAGGGAAAAATGGAGACGTTGTGGGGATGGGGATCTCGTTTTTCCTGCTTTTTTTTTTTTTTTTTTAGCAGAGTAGATGTATTCAGAGTGTCTAGTCCCTGTTTATTGCCATCAGGTAGATGAGCACTTGCCCTTGGGCCAGTCAAGTCACATCAGAATGAAGTAAGAGAATCAAAGAAGGTGCCCTCTTTTAGTGGTACCCTACTGACACTAAAATGAACAAAAATGTGATCATAAAAATAACCATCCCTGGTCAGACCAAGGACACTTCTGCTCCAATAGCCTGTTTATAGCAGTAGATGGCAGCAGATGTCCAGGGTAGAATTATAAAAAAGAGGACAAGGATCTCCTGCTCCGTATTCCAAGGAGCAATGAAGTCTAAACTATTCTGGTACATGTTTATCTAGTCTGCATTGGAGCAACCAGGTCCAAAATCTGGCCCTAACAGACCGTAAGCAAGTCCATCCCCCTCACATTCTTCCTTATCTTTGATATTGTCTGTGTTATTTCCAGGATGGGAGTCAAAATCAGCAAAAAAGTGAATAACCTAGGTGTATGTGCCTCTTCTCTTGCAGGTCATCCCAGACTGGAAGGAGCAGGAGTGGAATCCCGAGAAACCCGAGAGCTACGTGGGAATCTTCCACTTCCAGTTCTGGCGTTTCGGTCAGTGGCTGGACGTGGTGATAGATGACCGCCTGCCCACACTGCACAACCAGCTCATCTACTGCCACTCCAACTCCAGGAACGAGTTCTGGTGTGCCTTGGTGGAGAAAGCTTATGCCAAGTAGGTACCCAGGCAGTTGCAGGACAAGCTGGGACCTGGGCACCCTGGTTTTCTGTTCATTTGTCAGTTGGTTTGCACCAGTGGAAACAACAGCTTTTCTGGGGAGGAGTAGGACATATCTCAAGGAGATAGAAACTTTAAGAAAAAACAAACAAACAAACAAACAAACAAAAAAACAAACAACCTTCTCTAGCCTTAATTTACCCTCAAGGCAAAATATTCTCCAACTCCACATTTATTAAACACCTATCCCAGAGATTTCAAGTTCCGTTTACTTTGTCTTATGACAGCAAGAGCGCTGCAAGCAGCATGAGTTATTTTTTTACCCTAGTTTGCTGTGCCCACCCACTGAAAGTTTTATTACAAATCTCTGTTCCCCAGTCTGCCCCAGGAACTGTTCTAGACCACTTAATATGTTAAGCCAGTGTTGTTATGCCAACCCTGTACCCTGTTTCAGGTTGTCAGGCTGTTATGAGGCCCTGGATGGAGGCAACACAGCTGATGCCCTGGTAGACTTTACTGGTGGGGTCTCTGAACCTATTGACCTGACCGAAGGGGACTACATTGCTGATGAAGCCAAGAGAAACCTCCTCTTCGAGCGTGTGTTGAAGGTGCACGGCCGGGGAGGCCTCATCAGCTGCTCCATCAAAGTAAGCCATGTTACCTGTATAGTCACGGTCTCGTGGGAATTGGCATTTTAGGATGCAGTTGTCTTATGCTGTCGGAGACCTCTAAATTAGATCAGGTGAATTATGGCCAAGGGTTTCTGCTTCTTGTGATGGCAAAAGGAGTCAAGCCTAGGTATCAGCCCTCTTTATTCCTCATTGCTGTGTCCAAGAGCCCAGATTCATCCCACCACTGTTTAAATGTTAGGAGAGGATTCACTTCCAGAGAAGGGCGTTTTGGTGTCTGCACGTGGACATCTCTACAAACGCTGGGTGCCAGACCTCCCATTATAACCAGTAGAATGAGCTTTATTGGTTGACAATATGCGAGCTCAGAGACCTCTTGCAGTAGATGAAGACCAGGATTTAGCACTTAAAATAGCATCTGATACATCTGCCAAGGCAACTGGCACTATCCCTGAGCATTGGTGCTCTTCTTCTTGGCTCAGAGAAACCTGCAGAGAAATCTGAGCTCCTATTTTTTCCCAGTCCCTGCAAAGACAGTCGCATCCTCCTGGTCCAAGCACTGTCTGTGTCCCCCTGCCCAGGCGACATCAGCAGCTGACATGGAGGCCCGCCTGGACTGCGGACTGGTGAAGGGCCACGCGTACGCAGTGACGGACGTGCGGAAAGTCCGCCTGGGCCATGGCCTGCTGTCCTTCTTCAAGTCAGAGAAACTGGACATGATCCGCATGCGCAACCCGTGGGGAGAGCGGGAGTGGAACGGCCGTTGGAGTGACACGTGAGTTAGGACGGGCAGCCAGCAGCACCTTTTTTTGGAGGGAAAAGCTGGGTTGGAGCAAGCTTTGAGACATGAGACAATTTGGCTACATCCATACCTGTAGGATAACATTGTATGGGCAGTTGTGGGATGCTGCTTCAACACATGTCCTAAACCTTCTATTTCATTCCTTGCCCTGGCGTCCCAGGAGGGTGGCTGAGCTTGGAAGACCTTCTCATTCTGGTGGATGTTGTGGTGAAATTGCCAGGATGTTCACACTAGTGCAGGATGATTATAATTCACCTTTCTGCTCCCAGTCTTGTTCCACCAAAAATAGCATCCAATAGAATCAACCTCTACCACTAGTGACTGCTGTGATGTTTGTGGGTGGGATGAGGAACCAAGAGCTGGTGAAACCAGAGCCTTTGGCTGGAGTCCATTTTGTTATCTTCACCTATAGGGTTTTGAAAGTACTGGCCAAACAAAATCTTGCCAGGTTGGATTGAGCCCTACTGGTCAGGAAGGAAGTTGGATCTCCAAGCCATGCTGCACTCGCTCCACGTCTGGAAGATGAGCTAACCAGAGCGCTGTGGGGACTGTTTGCATGGCTGGAGCTTTATACAGGCCTTGTGCCCCTGACAGATCCTGCCGAGGGCAGGTAGCACCTTCAATTCTCATGTGTCCCCTTGCCCTCAGAGTAATGATCCTGTACTCTTCCCACAGCTCTGAAGAATGGCAGAAAGTGAGTAAAAGTGAGAGAGAGAAGATGGGGATGACAGTAGAAGACGACGGAGAGTTCTGGTGAGTCCCTCCTGGGGTTGCCACCACAGGCCATGCCCACAGAGTCCTCCCACCCCATGAAGCATGTGAGTCATTTCCATGCGTACATCTATCCAGAGCAAACAGCCTTCCAAGCCCTAGGGATATTTAGTGAAGCCTCCTCCTTGAGCCCATGGGTGTTAACTTCGAATGGCCGTGACCCTCGGTTTGCAAGCTGCTCTGTATCACGCTAGGTCCAAACTATTATGGAACCTGTTATGAATGTGCTGAACGTAACGGCCTCACCAGGTATGTTTCAATACATCCATGTGTGGAGGAAGGGCCACTACCCTGCTCCTCACACTCCAAAACACATTGCTCTGTTGTTTAAACTGCAGAAGAAGTATTGGCTGCGTGCATGGAGGCAGGTTCCTCCATCTCTTTTGTTATTCAGCAGCCATCAGAGCCTACCCACACACAGTCTCTGACAGGTGATGAAGAAAATCCCTGCAGCGTACTGTTCCGGGGAATGAAGCAGCATAACGAGGCTCTGTCCTTTCCTAACTTAGGATGACCTTCGAAGATTTCTGCAAATACTTCACGGACATCATCAAGTGCCGTCTCATCAACACATCCTACCTGAGCATCCACAAGACCTGGGAGGAGGCAGTGCTACATGGGGCATGGACCAGAAACAATGACCCCTTGAAGAACCGCTGCGGAGGCTGTATCAACCACAAGGACACCTTTTTGCAGAACCCCCAAGTGAGTCATGGAACAGAGGACCTTCTTGGAGCCTTCACATGTGCTTCCAAGTGCTTAAATCTCCTACAGGGACCTAGAAGGCCAAAATGGCTGCCAGACCTGTAGTAGATTAAATGTGCTCACAACCATTCTTTGGCTGACGTATGTGCTCACAACCATTCCTGGCACAGCGTGACCAGTTTCCAGGCCAATTCTATTAACCTTATCCCTCCTATCGGGGAGACTGTGTCCAAGTGCCTGGTGTAGAGCATCTTGGCACAAGTAAACAGCAAACTGCACCACAGGGTAGCAGTGTTAGCTGGTGCCAGTCAAACAGGGCCAGGAACCATTTCCAACAATTTGCATGTCTGAATGATCAAATTCCAGTTCCTTTGCCCAAACCTTGGCACTGTTAAACTTACCAGGACAGGTGTAGTCTGTAGGGACTGTTTCCTTCTAGCCTGGCCTTCAGAAAAGGCCCTGCTCTGAAGGTCATCTCATGGAACGAGTGTTTCTGTCCTATCCTGCTCTGAACTGGGATTCTCAGTAACATGAGACAAGTTCTTGTGAGTCCTTCATCTAACAAGCAGATGAAGGATGGTCTGGTCCGTTGCAGGAATTGTCATCGAGGTTGTTTCCTGCTTCCGGCTCTTCACTAGCCTTCTTCTTAGGTCTCTGTGAACATCAGTTTCTCCTTCCATGCCTTGTAGGAGGACTTGTGGCAGACTGCAAGGGGTGAAAGTCTCTGATATGAGACTGCATCTAGATTCTTTGGATTCTGCCAAGCAATTCCAAGACTGGAATTCCCAGTCTTTCTCTAAGATGACCCAAAAAGGTCTCTGACTTGGCAAGATGATACCAGTTCCCAAGAGGAGTAGCTACAGGCTCTCGATGCTGGTACTGAAACCAGACTGTCCCCGCAGTGAGGGGAATGAGGAGAAGCTGAGGTTTACTCTACTATGCGTCTACCCCCACCCATGCCCAGTGATCCTGTCTTTGTAGAAGTCCTTTCCTTACCTTCCTCCCTTTGCTTCTAGTATGTGTTTGATGTGAAGAAAGCAGAAGATGAAGTGCTGATCTCCATCCAGCAGAAGCCAAAAAGGACCAGCCGCAAAGAGGGCAAAGGAGAGAACTTGGCCATAGGCTTTGATATCCATAAGGTAGACCATGCATGTTGGCCTGGATACCCCCATAAGTTTGTTTAGCGGTGGAGTGGTACATCAGTCCTGTGTTACCATTGGTATTGTTCATTTAAGCATCATCTGGATGTCTCAGGGGTGCCTTCAGCACAGCCTGCCCCCCTCTAGAGGTGATGAGAGATTTCAGAGGTGAGCAGCGGCAGCATGGACAAGTTCTCCTTGCTAAAAGCACTGATTAGTCTGTATTCTCCACATGTTGAAATCCGTTAGACTGATCCTTATGTGTTGCTTGCTGGGTCCATAGTGTCACGCTGGAATGCAAGAGACAAGTCCCCAAGCCAACAGAGTTGAGAGAGCCATATCCACACTTGTTTTACATCCAGCCCAGTTGGGACCATTTTGCTGGTTCTCTTAACATCAGCTCTCCAGCACTTTGGGGTCAGTCCTTGCAGTCTGGCCCTGTGAGGTGGATACCAGTACACTGTCTGTCAGTGCTGCTGAGCATCCCGCTGTGGTTTCTGCCCAGGTGGAGCTCAACAGGAACTACCGGATGCACACCCTGCAGCAGAAGGTGGCCAGCTCCATTTACATCAACTCCCGCAGCGTCTTCCTGAGGACGGACCTGAAGGAAGGCCGTTACGTCATCATCCCCACCACTTTTGACCCTGGTCATGTAGGCGAGTTCCTTCTCAGGATTTTCACAGATGTGCCTTCAGATTGCCGGTAAGAAGCAACAGGAGGGATGGGGAGGAGCTGGCTATTTGGAGAAAACCCTGTGCTTTTGAGATGTGGTTTTCCTGATTGGAATTGGTCATAGCCTTGCCTGGAGCTGGCGTCTGACTTCCTTTGAAGGGTGGCCAAGAGATAGGGCATCTTTACAGCTCTCACCACAGACATGCAGAGAAGCTCCCACTCTGCTTCTAAGCATGACATGGGAGAGCATCCCAAACCCAGGCTGAGGAGCTTGGAGTGGGGAGCAGAGTCTGACAGGGGACAGTGTGTGGTCCTTCCATCCTGGTAGAACAAACTGTCTGGCTTGCACATGGGGTAAGGCTGGGCACCTCTCAAAGGCCACATGTCTTTCCTCGCAGAGAGCTGACACTGGATGAGCCAGCACACACCTGCTGGAGTGGGATGTGTGGTTACCCACAAGTGGTATCCCAGATCCATGTCCTTGCCGCAGCCGGGCTCAAGAATCAGGACTCCCAAGGAGGTACTGGTCTTTCCCTGCCTGTTGTCTAGTCCTGGAGAAGTTGGGATGGTTGTTTCAGTGGGAAGAGAGGGAGGTGGCTTCATGAGGTGGGAGGTTGCTGGGATTTATTATGTCCTCAGAAAATTTTTTCAGTGAACATGACTGATTCAGACACCAGAGGAGGAGAAATTCCATGGAGAATCAAACTCAATTCTTGCTGTGGACATGATCTGGGAGCTCTTATATTTAGGCTGTTGTCTAAGATCCTCAGGAGACCCTCCCAAATCTTCCCCAAAGCCCTTAGCAGTGGTCCTGTAACAATCCAGACTTTCCTCCTGACTATGAACAGCTGCAAGAGTCAGGAATTGTATGTAAAGGGTTTTTTTTTTGTAGGAAGAACAGAGAAGCAGCGGAGCAGCTGATTGATGTGCTGTAGTGTTCATCACCAGAGGCTGGATAAATGTCTATCAGTAGAGAGTAGGTCAAATTTAGCTCATTTTGGGATAGTGTGGATTGAGAGTCTCTCCTTCTATTTCCTGTAAGTCCCGCTCCACACTTGGCTCCTAGGAGCCCTCTGAGATGACCTGAGCCACCACCAGCACAGTGCACTCTGTTTCTGCCTCCTTGGTCCTGCCAAGGTTCATTGTCACGGTCCTCTGATGCGATTTTGACATCCAACACTTGTCTTGCATGAAAGACAGCAGCAGCACCATGCCTCACCATGTCCTGCGGCCACACAGAAGCTCATAGCAATAGCCCCGTGTTCGGTCATTCTGGGGTATCTGGACTGAGAAATGAAGGGGTAGTGATGACTTGTACTGGGAGATCATTGAAGTTGTCTTCAGACAACTTCTAGAGGCCGTGATTAGAGAAGCAAATGCCTTTCCACCATGGGAACAGACCAGATTCTAGCCTTTTTCCTCCATTTCCTGAGTCAAGGACATGTTGAATGTGGCACTGGCAAGACAAAATAAAAGAATTGAAAGCTTAAAATTTAAAAAATCTAAATAAAAAAATTTTTTTTTTTCTTCACCCAAGCATTATTGTCAGAGATGCATATCACTAGAGCCCTGCAAGTAATGAGCAGGATTCTTCCTTAGGGCAAGGACTAGCCCAATTTTCTTATTTATCACATGCCACAAAGGGAGTCTTTCTATCCTGTCGGCTGTTTGGGGAGGGAATTCAACCTAGGTAGGCTGTTTTCTCTTGTGTTACTCGCATAGCTCAGTGTATCTGTAGCAACATAGGGAAATCTGTAGCCAAAAGTCTCTGAAGTGTTCACAGAAACAAGATCTGTCTTTCCTTCAGTCAAGGGTACATGTGGATTCTGAAGCCATAAAACATTTTTTCAGCAAGAGACCCTTGGGAAGGGTTTTTTTCCAGCTGTTTTCCAGCTGTTCAGCTCCCACCAACAGTCTGCATGTTTGGTGCTTTCCAGTGCAATGGCATCTTTTGTGTCCTCCAGCCCAGGCCTTCCACACTACTTTGGAAATAGTGATTTACAGACAGGAATTGGCTCCGGCTGATGGAATATGAGGATTTAACGGGACATCCCAAAAGACTAGTCTAGTTTGGAAAAACAGCTGTGAAATCCGGCAGCTGTGTCTCACCAGGGGAGCCAGGTCCTTGCAAACAGAAAGCTAACGAGGAGGTGGTCTGGCAATCAAAGATGTGGTTCTTAAATCCTTGGCCTTCAGAAGGGGGTGGTTTGTTCCCCCTCATTTCCACATTTCCCTTGGACAAGAAAACTCATCTACCTGGTCTGTGTTTCCATCATAGCCGCTAAAGCTTATCGTTAAAAAAAAATGCATTTTGGCAGCTAAATTTCATAGCAATAACTCATTCTCTACTGAAATTCCCAAAACAAGCGTTTGTTTCCTAAGGGGAAAATGTTCACTAATGAGGGACTCTTTCCCTCTCCTGGAAGCTCAGGTACTGTCCAGCTGTGAGCTGGTAGTCTGTGAACTTGGTAATTTTACTCTCCATCTTTGTGGCCTGTTTGTTCCCCATGACTATCTTGTTCCAGCTGGGATATTGCAGTAACTTTCCTTTCCCACTTTCTCCTCCCCTTCCCACTCATTTCCCCCGGTTGCCCCTCAGTGCCCAATCTTTCTCTTCGCCATGTCTCTAACTGCCACCAATGATCCTTTTGACCTTCTCCGTGAGTTCCTGCCCACAACAAATTCTCTAAGAACCATCTTCACCTCTTTAAAAGACTTCTAAATACATTTCCATCCTAAGGCTCCTCATTCATTGGTTGCTCACCAAACCTTTTTAGTGCTCAAATGGTCTCATTTTTGGGTCTCATAACTTAGCATATCTTGACACTTAATTTTGGCTTGGTGTTGTGCTGTCTCTCATCACCTTGACCACCCAACATTTTTCTTAACCCCGACATTAGTCGTTGTACTGACAGCGCCTGCAACATTGAGTCTCACTGAGTCTAGGAGGAAGATGTGCCAGTGATTTGTGCATGGGGTTGAAATGCACAGTCCCTGCTGAGGTAGCTAGTTATCACCTTAAAGTAAAACTAAAGTTAGACCGACTTGGGAGTATATGAGCAGCAGTGGAAGCAAGTGGGTTTTTGCAGCTTGAAGGCACTTGCCTTCTTGGCGTTTCCTTCTGTGAAACAATCTGTGAGCCTGTTTCTCTTCTCCATGGCTTGATTTCTGCCTGCCTTCAGCAGAGGAAATCTTGAAAGGAGAACTGAACAAGGCGGTGTCTTCTGTGAAAAATCTATCCAAAAGCCCCAGAGAATTTGGAGTTGTGAAGGAGTGTTTATGTAGAATATGGGGTCAAGGGAGAGGCGGCCATTTCATAGCAGTCCATCACTACCTACTGCCCAGGGACACTTAACAGAAGCAAGCCTGAGCCCAACAGCTGAGCTTCATGGACATCATCTGGGTGTGATGAACTCTTTGGTAGAAATTAATCTCCTCTGGTGGGGTGTAGAGGAAAAGTGCTGCATGACACCCCTGGGAAAGGTCTCTGGGGAATTACAGGAGCTACAAGAATGCAAAAATTCCCTTTTCTCTCCCCAGGAGCTGACCCTTATGTGATCATGAAGTGTGAAGGGCAGAAAGTTCGCTCTCCAGTGAAGAAGAACACGGTGTCTCCAGAGTTTGATGTGAAAGGGCTCTTCTACCGCAAGAAGCCAGGCCAACCCATCATTGTTCAGGTACCCAGCAGGCTTGAGGGATGGACACCCTCTCTCCTTTGAACCCCTCCACTTCCCCTCTCCTCACGCTGTCCACAGTGAGTCTGTTCCCCCAGACTGAGCAGTATCAGTTCACACAGCTCAACCTCTCAGCACCGCAGCTGAGCTGTGAAAATCCCCCACACCTTGACCACCTCCACGGCTCCAGCTAAGAGCAGGTCCTCAATGACACCTTCTCCTCTCCAGTGCTGCATCCTTCGAGGAACTGCCCTCCTCTCTGTTTTGTTTCCCCAGATCTGGAACCACAACTTAATAAGTGACGAGTTCTTGGGCCAAGTGGTGCTCACGGGGGATCCCGGCGACCGGCAGTCAGTGCACACGCTGCACCTCCAGGACAAGGGGAACAGGAGATCAAACGATCTCTCTGGAACCATCGCTGTGAAGCTGCTCAGCAGTAACATCCTCACCAACGTCTAAATACTCAAGGACTCTTCTGGTGCCACATATGTGTATATAAACATGCACACATACATACGTATATATATATATACACACACACAGCCTACTTACCATCTGCAAAGTGTATATGAACTATGCATGCATTCCACTCAAAGGAGCCAATCTTGTGTTTTCAATGTTAAAAAAATGGTGCCTTTTTGGGGAACCGCAACGATCCTTCTGCTGGCATCCTCTGCAGCCCCCATCGCCGCCGTGTGCCCTGTGGGATTGCTGCGAGCACGCTGTGTGTCCTGACAGCCAGAGCACGATGCCCTGATGCTGTTTGTTTACACGGGCTGGCACACACGTGCCGCCACGCACACGTGTGGCCTCTGCAGTCCCACCAGCCGCTTCAATGCATCTTCGATGTCTCTGCTTGGATTTAGAGTAGCGTGTGTGAAGTCGTCTCCCGTGAAACTGCCATTTAATCGCTTCTCTGTGGAGGCACCTCAGCAAAGGAGAAGTGGAAAAAAAAGATTGGGGCCTTTTGGATGTTTTCTGGGTATGGGTTAGCGTACTGCAACTAGAAGGAAAATGCACCAAGGCAGTCCCAAATCCCAAATCCACAGGGGCAACAAGACTAATGGCTGCATCATTTTAGGGGTGAGCTTTCTCGTCCTGAATCTTGTTCAACCCCATGCAAGCGTGAAGGATACAAAGATGCCAACAACCATAGTGGGACAACTGTTCTCTGGGGTCAAGTTTTTGAATTGGTCTGTACTCAGCTCCTGCATGTGCCTCTTGAATGCCGTGGTGCCTGCTGTCTACATGTCTTCATGCAGTCCCCATCCCAAGAGCTCACCCCAGTAGCTGGGGTGGGTTGTCTGCTGGGGCCCTTCAGCGTTTAGATTAAAGGAGATCAGTTCCTGTGAAGGCCAAAGCATCAGGTCCGAGGGATGGGGAGCTTTGCTCAGTAGGCTTCATCTTTACTGCTGCATAAAGTGCATCATTTCTCAGTGCCTCGCTTTCCCAAATTATTTTAAAAAATAGTGGGATTTTAGCTTGTGCTAGAGGAGAAAAGAGGAGCGCTGCTCCCAGTGCAGCTTGAAAATGCTGGGAATATGTAATTCATACCAGTGTTCGTCTTTCACCTTTAATTTCCAGTGTACTGGCCTGGAGGATGCGTTGCAGAGTGCTGGAGGCAGTCTCACAAGCACAACCCAAACACATCCTTGGGGCCGTGTCTAGGGCTGTGCTCTGCCCCTGTTCGCCATGAAGACTGGGTTTATCTGCCTTATTCCACTGGGTGGCAGAATCTGGCTTCTTATAAACCATCCCAGATAAGCCAAACAACAAACCCTAGTCTGGCCTTTCAGCAGCTGATCAGGGCAGGTTTCAAAACATTTTTTCTCCTGTTGTTTAGGTGGTTGGGTTTTATTTATTCATGTGCCTTTAAAAATAGTGCAAGTTAAGGGATTTTTTTTCTGTCAGATTTTCTAACAAGCTAATCTTTTGCAGTCACCTGCATGCAAAGTGGTGTAATCTTGGTAAATTTTGGCCTGAGCAGAGCACTCTGCCTGCAAGGACTAGTGAAGAGAAAAGCCTTCTTTTGCCATAGTAAGTAGGGTTTCTGCTTGTTCTACTAGATGCCCATGTTTGTTCTGCAGGTCTGGTGTTTTGTTTTTTTTTTTAAAGTTCCTAAAGATCTGCAAAGTCTGTGATGTGTGAAGATGTTCCCCTAAGTCACGTTACCTGCCAGGTCAATTCTTGGTGCGTCCAGAAGCGTATGGTACAACTTAATTGATATTTTTGGAGGCTGTTTTTCCCTTTTCCTAATATTCAGAGTTTACCTGTGGTTGTGAACGGGTTTTTTTTACCAAATTGCTTATTTTCTTAGGCCATTTTTTACAGGACTTAGAGACAAGCAGTGGCCCACAAGATACTCTTTCCACGTCTCAACTATTCCTGGCCTGCACTGGGCACCCTCCAGCCCCTGGTGCCATCACTGGGACCTAGTTTAGTTCAGTATCTTGCAGAGTTGGCTCAAATGCTCCTAGTTTGGTAAGGTGACATTTTGACCCCCAAAGTCAAAGCAAATCCTTGAATTTGGGCAGGCCAATTCAGAGATATTTTGATTTTATTGTCATTTTGTTCATGGGACTCATCACTGAAAATAAATGAAAGCGGTATTGCGGGGCTAGAAGGCATGATTTAATTCTTAGGAGATCTCACAGGCTCATGTTCAGAGTGGTATGTGAGAGGCACTGTGATGCCCAAAGATACCTCACCGGGCAGGGAGGAGAGCTATTTAGCTAAGGAAGAACATCACAGGAGCTTTGCACCATCATCATCAGATGGGGGTAGCCAGCCTGCCTGTATTAGCCTTGTTTTCTCAGGAAATCAGGCTACTGATAGCTTCAGGATACAAGAGCCATTTGGCCAGGAGTGCCCTGACATGTGCCAAACCTCACCGTGATCCCCAAGGAACGGCGCTGAAGCTTGCCAAGGAGTAGCGGTGCCCTGGTACTCCTGAGCAGCCTCCTTCCTTCCTACAGAGAATCAAGCCATAAAGAGAGGAAAGGCAGCTTTTTAACAGATTCTTTAAAAAAAAAAATCACACTATATCAGGACCAAAATGTCTTAATGTCAGTAATATTTGTCCTTTCTCTTTCAAAAACTTTTGAAAAGTTAGAGCAGAAGCCTTCTTCCCTCTACATTTCCAATGGAATAACAAAAATTATCTTTGTTCCTTTGTTCCATTATATTTTTTTTGGTCTTGTCTGTAGAGCAGATGAGAGAGGTCAGTTATTGAAATGCCATTCCTAATGTTGATGCCTTTTGTCTTTGAATGAAGTAAACAGAAATATTCAGGATATTTTGTCTGAGGGGAGGGCAGGTCTGATAAGCACTTTGCAGACCCTCTCAGGTGGTGTATGACATGTCTCTGATTTATTTTCCATTTCTTCTGTTAATCATTTCAATGGTCGCAAGTAGCCTGCCGTTACCCTCTGTGAAATCCATTTCTTTTTGACATCTACATGTTAAAACAGGCTATGACTTGTCTTCATCTCCAAAGGCACTGACGTGTCACGCTGCACAAGATCAGAGAGTGGTCCAAACAGAAAGCCAATGTTGTACAGCTGTAAACCTCCTATAAATAAATTGTGTATATTTTATTCAGATTCTCTGCCTTTAAATTGCTGTGTTCTTCCAGAACCCTTTTGGTGGGCACAAGGTGGCTCTGCAGAGCCTTTTTTCATTTGCTTGATTCACTAAACTCTATTAAATTGTTTTCTCTGCAGACTTCGAGACTGAGACAAGGCAATCTGCATGAAGGTTTCATGCAAGGTTACACTCATGTTCACTGGGAAAAGCCACAGAGGGGAAGGGTAACCTCCTCTGACTGTAAAAACTTTACATCCTATGCCTCAGAGTCACCACAATGCAGGGAACTTTGTTATTTGAGCCTCATCTGACTCAGAAGAAGCTCTGAAGATTGATTAAAAAAAAAGTTTTTAAAAAATAATTATGAGCAAAGCAGCAAGAAGGTGTGATTTTTGGCTGGCCTTCCCTCAAAGAACAAACATGCAGGTTGCACGTTGGGAGCCTTTGAAAAACAAAAAGCCAGTCCCTGCCCATGGGAGTCTCTGGTCTTGCTGCTGTAACAGTCCCAAGGGTCTTGCTCCCATCTCAGATTCCAGCCCCCAACTCCATCACCTGCCTGTGCTCGAGGTCTCTGGAGCATGGAGGAGCTGTGCCCTTCTGCAGCCCATCCTCCAGGACCTGGAGGAAGCATCTGGAAAAAGCTTTCTTATTGTGGGGTGAGGGAACCCATCCAGATCATCCTGCTCCTGGGATCATGCCCTGGGAGAAAGTGTGTCACCAAACCCTAGATAGAGAAAGGGGCATCCTATTCCTCTGCCTCCACCACTGAAACAGCTTGCAAAGATTGTTTTTCGGGGGGGGGGGGGGGGGGGGCCCCA